CCTTGCTAATTTTGCCACGGACCTTTTGAAGTAGTGGCAGGGGTTTTTTGAAAAATTGGAAAGGGCCTCTCTCTCTCTCTCTCTCTCTCTCTCTCTCTCTCTCTCTCTCTCTCTCTCTCTCTCTCTCTCTCTCTCTCTCTCCAGCGTGTATACACGAAGTTACTTTTTTTTCGCTTTTTTTTTTTGCGCAGCCGTGATCAGTGGACCTCACGTATGCGCTGCAAGTATGATCCAAACCCAGCTTTAGGGTTCGGTGGGGATGTGTTGTATCTGAGGGATGCCTGAAGTGGATTTAGAACTGAACGTTGTTGTCGTGGAATCGTGGTTTCTTGGATGGAAAAAAAAAAAAGAAGGGAAAACTACTGCACAGTCAAGGTTTGCAGTTTTAACTTAAATGCGCTTCAGTCACCGTTTCACAAATTTTACTCCAAAGAGAGGAAAATCGTTATGTATTCAACGCAGCTTTAGGGTTGGGTGGGGATTTGTTGTATTCGAGGGATGCCTGAAAGGCCCTGAAGTGGATTTAGAACTGAAAACGTGACTGTGCCATAGTTACCCCAAGAAAGGAAAAGGTGTATAAGGTGTAAGGAAGCGCTAATGAGACAGGTATGTGTTATGGGACGAAGTACTGGAAGGTTCCTTTTGAAAGGCCTTCCACAATTCAGACCCCAAATTCGAGTTTCAGGGTCAGAGCCCCTGGCGAAGAACGGCCGAGTCAGTCAGTTTCAGAAAAGTCACAGTCGGGTGGGTACCTTAGCAATCAAGTCCAACAGTCACCCAGCAAACAGTCACATCTTGGGGGCAAAAATCACGTCCCATAATGGAAAGTCGTGTTGCAAGTCACATCCCACGAACAAAGGGCAATTCCATAGGCAACAGTTGTGTCCCCAGAGGCAGGCGTCACAGTCCACAGTCAAAAACTCGTTAGTGTCGTAATCGAAAACTCGTGATTCCTCAAAGGCCCCAGCAGCAGCACACCAATGAAAATTTGGGAAGGTTCCATCCCCTGACATTCGAAAGCAGACAGGCCGTGGGGATGTGGTACTGGAGCCAAGTCAAGCCCCAAGAAGCAGAGGCTGGCACGAGCTGAAGCTCAGTCCACGACAATATAAGGACTGGCCGGCCTCCTCATTCGGTAGATTGCTCATTCACATGAAGTGTGGAAGTGCGCTGGTGCACGTGTGCGCTATTGTGAGGGGCGGAGCGGTGAGCCAGTGAGCTGCGCTGTTAGTGAGAGAGAGAGAGGGAGCGACTATAGCTGCCCAGCACTGGCAGAGGGAAGGCAGCCATGGCTGCGCCAGTGCTAGTAGTTAGTAGTAGACCTCGGGGAGGGGTTAATAGAGTTAGCAGTGGGTGTATTCAGAGTTGGTCCTTGAGTAGTAGAGAGAGTGTGAGTGCATGGTAGTAGGGGGAGAAGACACAGGGAGGTTGTAGACAGAGAGAAGACCAAGGGAGAAGAAGAGAAGTACATTGAGAGAGATGCTTACCTGAGTGGAGATACTGGATACTTGGGTGTGCGCTGTTGAGCGCCTGTGACCGAAACTCTTAATTGCTTGTATGATAATCTGTTGGAATACTAAAGCTGCGCTTACCTCGTCTTCACTGTAAACTTCGTGTGATCTTATTCATGCATGGTGTGTGATTGTGTGCACTCATTTGTGGTGAACTAAGAGGTTCGTTGCACTTTTTTTGGGGGGGTGATTTTGTGTGTTTCTTGTTTTTTTGCAAGTGCTGCAAAGTTCTCTGTTTTTGAATTTGACTAGTATCGCAGGGTCGCGCATGCATGGCAACTCTCAAATTCGTCATGCCATTCACATAGTAATTGAAAATTCACTTTATAATTGCCTGTGTCAGACTGCATTGGTTCAGGCAGGGCAGTCAGGTGCATGATCTGTACCGAGACGAGTGGATGACTAGGTACGTTATGACAGGGGCAGTACTAGATTGAATTTCTGATATGCATAGAAGTCAATGGGATTTAATTCCAGATGTGATGCCATTCACAATCATCTTTTGCCGATAAGTACGTACATGTATATATATATATATATATATATATATATATCGTCACAAACAGAACTGCCTGGTAAAACCGTAGGCAGAGAGAGAGAAGAGGACAACAAATGAGGGGCTGTGACAAACTGTTTCGTATACATATATATATATATATATATATATAGTCAAACTGAGCTGCCCGGTAAAGCGTAGGCAAAGAGGGAGAACAGGACAACAAACAAGGGGCTGTGACAAACTGTTTCGTCGGAGTTTCACGGACTCATCAGGAGGCTGAAATATATATATATATATATATATATATATATATAGGGTTCAGCCTCCTGACGAGTCGGTGAAACTCCGACAAAACAGTTTGTCACAGCCCCTCGGTTGTTGTCCTCTTTTCCCCTTCCCTCTCTGCCTATGGTTTACCGGGCAGCTCTGTTTGACGATATATTGTCACAGCCCCTCGTTTGTTGTCCTCTTCTCTCTCTCTGCCTACGGTTTACCGGGCAGTTCTGTTTGTGATATATATGAGTCGGTGAAACTCCGACGAAACAGTTTGTCACAGCCCCTCG